CGTGTCGGCACTCATAGTGAAGACATCATCCATTGGTGTCATGATATCTCCAACTGCTTTTTCTTTCAAGTCCAACACTGCACTGATGATTGTAACTTCATCTTGGTTCAATCGATCGCTAGGACTTGTTCCTAAAGTTTTGTGTAAAGTCACAAGTGTCTTTAGACCAGATTTCTTATATACGGTTCCGTGATCCTCTCCAAGTAGTTTGTCGAGAAGTTTCGCAGTTGGCCATGCAACAGGTGCTAATAGCCACATAAGACCCAGCACAGGTGGTGCCATAAATGCTCCGATGGATAGACCATATCGCACACAAATCGATTGAGGAATGACTTCTCCGAAGATAACTAAAGCAAATCAACACACACTCCATCAATGCGACAGCTACACAACATACCAATTAGGACTGTACTACCAAGAACCGCAGGCCATCCTCCACCGAGCGATCGATCGAGTATGATAGGAAGCGTTTCGTTGACGATGACATTGCTGAGTAGTAATGTCACAAGAACCCAATGTTTACCCTTTTGTAATAATCCATATACCCTTTGTGCATGTCTCTGTTCCTTTCCTTCTCCTGAAGTCGCGATGACTTGTAAATAAACGCCATCTTGTCCCATCAATCTGGATGAAAATTTCTATTAGTATTGAAACTTTGTGAACTTCCATTGAACACTCACGCAATCGTCAATCCGGCGAAAGCACCTCCAAGGAGAACCAGGACAGCCGCGACTGATAGATATAACCACAAACTTGCATCTTCGGCATCTTTTGGCGCATCCTCTTCACTGGCAATTCCAAGGAAAGCTGTAATAGGAGCGGCAGATACTGAAGTGATTTGGCAGATACTCAAGAACAGAATCTTCGCAAGGCCCAGGATGGCAGGTCTTGTCGAAGTGTAGCCATTGCTGATGAAGCTTGAGCGAGTACTTCCGACAATCGATTTCGAGGTCATCTCAACTCGATCTATAATTTGTGATGTATTCTCCAATGATCACTGTCCACGACAGTAATTCAATTGGGTCCAGCTCCCTGTATTTTACTCTGTAGTGTGGTTAAAAGAGGTGGAGCTTTTTTTTCGAGATCCTTTCGGGGTCTTGTTACTTATTCAAGACTGAGTACTGGGATGATCCGAAGGTTCCCGGCCGTTGATGTGGATACTACCCGGGCAAGCAATGAGGGATAAAAGTGGCAGGTTGGTGTAATTATCACGACATCAATGTGGAATGAGGTTTGTGAAGTGAAGGAGAAGGTCGAATTGTAATTAAGTACACGGCAGGTTAATATGGACAAGACTCATAACGTTACTCGTAAAGGATTCCTATATTAATGTACTGAAGTGTGGTTGTGGTTGGTGTTGCGTGAAGTTCAATCATTCAGCCAGTCAGTCTGGACAAACAAAACAAAGAAAAGATACCTCCAGCTACCTTCGTAATGTCCTAATTAGGGTTAAGGTGCTAGGGGGCTGTCCCTTCCAGCCAATCAGATCAGCTATTGACACATATGACGATGGTCAAGCTCCACATAAATCAGATATTCCTTGGTATCACTCTTCACTACAATTCACTAAAATCACGCTTCACTACAAAGTACGTATAGGGAGTATTCGCAGGAGAAAAAGAAGACCAGAATTGATTACTGACGAAACTCTTCAATACTTCAATTGTTCTATTTCAATGCAGGAATTCAAAGAACAAATAGGATTATAGCTAAACAATATCTAAGAATTTATTTAATACAATTAATCCTTAAAAGTTGATTTGTGGTTGATTTGTTATGGAATTTATCACGGTAATCAATTCTGATCTCTTTTTTCTCCTACGTACTCTGTATGTTCATATTCTACCCCGTATTTCGCATACAATTTCTCCTTTTTCCATTTCTGTCTTCTGCTTTTTTGAGGTTTCACTAGAAGCACACTACGCTATTCGATCAATTATATCATCACTACACAACCAACCAATCAGTCAGTGCTTACGTCATTAGCGTACATATCCTCAACGTCCATATGGTCGAAATCTTCCCCCAAGTAAAATCTTACATTCATCTGCGTACTTTCCCGATATGCTCTTTGATTCGTAGCAAAAGCTTTACATCACATCAGTTATCAAACATGTATTTGGATCTGACTGCATGTTATCTCTTGTTGTCCGTCATGAGTACATACCTGCTGCCTTCAAAGTTTGACATGAAGTGAGAAATCGATCAACCTGCATATCATCAATCCTCAACTGTTTCCCGGAATACTCTTGGATTGAGTTGATTATTAAAAGTTACTTATTTCTCTCTCTTGCACCAGGATGAAGACTAGGATGACAAGTTGAGATAATGCGCACACCGAAGAGTTGAAGAGAATATGAGCATATATTTTCGTCTTGGCAAAACCTCAATCTTCCTTCTGAGATAGGGAGATGGCAATATTAAGAGCTGAGGTTATTCCCGCGAGATCCTTATGTTGTATGAAATCTGATAGATCAGGTTTTACAAAGTCTCATCGGCCACAAAGATTCTCTGAAATCATAGCGACCTCGGGCTACACTAATATCAAAGCGTATGAAGTTTCATAGCACATGTGAATTTTGACACTTTGCCCACAATTCACATGGAAAGTCGTTCCATACAATGTGCCTAAAGTTTTGAATCATTCAAACACTTCTTCCGGATTAAAGTTGAGATAGCAAATCCTTTTATTTGAAACATCGGGGTACACTACTTTCACTCTGATTTTCTTCCTCGCATCCCCTTTGGATTTAACTTCTCTCACGTTATCGGAAAGCTCTGCGTTTCGGGACAAAATCACTACAATATTATAACATAATTCCTCGCCGAAGTTTCGGAGAATTTGATCATGCAAGACTATTTACGGCGAGAATAGACTCGGTCATCATGATCCTGGGACACAGAAACTCGTATCATGTTAACGTTTTAGTTTTCTCTCTCACTTTAAAGACTATCTCTCAGGCGACGCCCCTTGGAGATGTACAAGCATTTGGTAGCATTGGGAATACGCACGTTGTTCATGGCACCCGGTAAACTCATAAGCGTCGAGAGCCTCAATGTACCGTTTCTGTCCAATCAATCACAATATTGGCCACGACATTAATGTTCGCGCAACACTTTGTGTTCCACGCGGGATGTTACATATGTTCACGTTATCAATCATGCATTGTGCAACTGAGATAGCGATATCACTAAAGTCCCCATGGTTAAAGTTACATTCCGTGATGATTTAATATTTACACACAATTGACCACAAGTTTGATAGCTTTCTTCCTCACACGCGATTCAAGTATATCTCGTATTTGATTCTTTCCGACATAACTCGATTATCTCGTATATTCATTGCCATTAGTTTTCGCCAATCGAAAGATGCTTCTCGCGTGCTCCTAACGCCACCATTACTCCAAACCCCGCAAATATACAATATTTCCCATCACCAATCAATCAACGAAAGCATCATTGACCACTTTCTGGTCCCACCTCTCTTAGCTCTCAGGCTTCAGTTGTTATGATCTGCGGTTACAGAAAGATATCAAAAACGTGCTGGCTAAGATTAGTTTGATCCGGTGTTTGTCTTGTTGAGACTATTTGTTTCGGCAGTGTCCCTAGCCACTATTTCAGCCAAGATTTCGGCATGCGATGTCTGATCATCACTCAAAGTCAGTAATCGTCTCAATCCTTGCTCTCTTCGCATCATGAACTGGGCAGTTCGGGGATTGATATGCTTTGAGTTCTGGCCCCTTGAGATTGAATCACCATGTTCAAATCTAGCCTCTGACTCGTCCTGAAATTGGGATTGATAATTTCTTCGTCTCCTAAACAATGTCATAGGGGCTTTTTCCATGGTGCCTTTTCCTTCAAAAACTTCTTCACGTGTTTCTTTGATGGTGGGACTATCCACTACGTTGCTGGTCAACGTGCGTTGCTTGGTTTTAGCAACTTTCTTTGATTTGTTAGGACGGAAAAATGAGGAAACACGTTGTTTATATTTATCATTGGACTCCGTGATATCAGCAAGGCTGAAATCATAAAGAATGGTAGTCGCTGACTCGACGCTTTGGGATTGGTTTTCCGAAGGAGCCATTACTTCGATATCAAAATTGAAGGTATTGACTATTCGATTTGTCGTTGATGAATTGAGATAGATCTAGATATTAAGACTGGGAGTATCTTGTAGCTGAAAAACTGCTAACGTGAGAGAAAGTGTTGTGCTGTTGACTTCCTGGGAAGAAACTTTATAGATAATAACACTGACTGGCTGGACCGTATGAACGTCTAGCCTCATTGCCCGTACTAAAATCACGGCTCAAATTGTTTTGATTGTTCAAGTGTGCAGGTTATCAATGGGAAAAAAACAGTAGCTGTAGTTGGTTCCTACCGTACTCCCAAATCATTTTGCACCAAAGATGTATCTGGAATATAGACAATGACTCTTTACGAAATGGAATCGTCCCCTGGGACTAGCCCAATATCTTGGAATCTTGCTCATGAGAAGCGAATTTCAAAATGCGCTTTACGTGGAAATGTCGCTTGTGAGTGAACTTTTCGCTTGATTGGGGTTCATGAGAGGAGGGGCTCAATTTCTGTATCCTGTTTGTGGATTATACGGAAACGTTTGTTGATACTCGTTATGTATGGAAAGCAGGGTGGAATAGTCGTATTGCTTTATTTACACTATTTTTCGACTATATTAGTCACGGGTAAAAACTTCATTCAAATCTCTATTACTGAGTCTCGATACCCCAGAACTAACATCACTGTAATGATATCTGAATGTCTGTCATAATTTGAAGGTATGGTTATAATATTTCATTGCTGTGCCAAAATCTAGTCTAAGTGTTCTATCAAAATGTGTCTGTGCCATTCCATCTGAAGAAGAAAGAATCATAATATCAACCGGAACCCATTAACAATATAATCTCAAATTCTAACGCACAATATCTCGCTTCCCTGCAATCCAACAATACTCCGCCCCACAATTGGCATTTAAGAATGCTTCCTCATAAACATAGGATGGGATCGATCAACCTCTGCCCGCAAGCCTTGGTCGCACGCCAGATGTACAACTCAATGACTTTATCAGAGAGATCATACTTGTTGTTCCCCCTCAGAAACTTCTCATTTCCATTCACCAAGAAATTCCTCGTCGGTGACACATTCAGATCCTTCCACTCCGGAGTAAATCGAAGTCGAGAAATCCCTCTGCTGACCAGTTCATCGGTATGCGCATACCAATATGCTTCGGCTTTTAGGATATCATCTTCGATCATGTCGGCCCATTCGATAATTTCCTTAGATGTTGCTGCTTCTTCGGTTGTCTTGGCGCCAAGTGGAATTGATAGAGGAAGCTCGAAACAGAGAAGTCTCTTATTGTGCGCGTACTCAGCATATCCGGTCTCTGGGACGAAGTCTTTTTTGACACATGCGTTGCATGTACAAGTGAATTTCCATCTTTCAGAAATGTTCGTCGCTCGAAAAGAACAGGTGCCATAAACACCATAATTAATGGTGATTTCATCTCCTTTCTTGATATCCCGCATTGCGCGGATCGATATACTATGCTCAGAATTGAACGCACGAGAACAGTTGGGTACACAAGCATGATTAATCCGACATGCTTTATCGTAGATACAATTGTTATTAGTTGTATCGCCAACTTGAAGAAAAGGATTCATCTCGAAGGAATTGACGGCCCAGCGTTTCATGAGGGGGGTCTCGAGACAAAGTTCGGGTTTCTTTCCGCAAATGCACATTTTGGAAAGAGAGTCGACAGCTGCCTTTTTGGAGGACCGAAGCATGTTGTATGCTGCTTCGCGGCCGGGCCAGGTAGGTCCCCCGAGAATGAGAGGCGCTTCGCGCAGGATCTCGGTGTTCTTGGAGATGATCTCGGTGGCGAACATGCCGAGTTGTTTTCCTCCCATGGTGGGTTTGATCTCGAAGATATGGGGAGAGAAGGATTCTTTGGGGTGTGTTAGTTGGAGCTCAGATTTTAGGAAGTGGGTGGGGGGAGATTAGATGTTTACCTCGGGTGACCACCTTCTCTTGGAGTATTTCCTCCCTTGGAGCAGGACCAGCATTTCCATTCGTGCCTGCGTCTTCATCCTTGGATGGTTTGAAATTGTCGTTATCCGTGCTTCTAGTGACGGGTTCCTCATTACGTCTACAGTACTAGTCAACTGCTATCAGCCGAAATCCATTTTCACACCAAAAATCGACATGTTGCTATATTTTCAGATTCAAAAATCTTTATAAATAATAACTTAAATTTATTAAAACTTTGCTTTTATAAAGTTTATATAATAATAATTGATATTTTCAATATTTTAAAAATCTAAGAAATTTCTAATATTAAAATTTATAAGACTGAATTAAAATATTAAAGAAGTTGCTTGATTTTCGCTTATTTTACTAACGTGTTTTATCAGTGTGCGGGTCATATCAGTATGCGGGTCATTTCGAAAACCATCTAAATCAAGCTTTTTAAAATATTAATATTTTAATAACCAATCATTATTTTCTTGAATAAAAGATCTTAAAAAATAATTAAAATCTAGGTTTTCTATTGATCTAATTTTTATAAAATAATTTCATTATTTTCTAAAAGAAAAAGGAAATTGTCACGATTTTCGTTACAAAAAAACTATTTTATAATAACAACTTTATAAATTCGAATTTCTTAAAATTGATTAGATTTTTAAAATTTTTATATATTCAAATATTTTGTATCAAATTTTCAGAAGATTATATCCATAAATAAAGAAAGTGCACGGTTACACACAGACGAATTTTGTATGTAAAATAAGTGACCCGCATACTGATATGACCCGCACACTGATAAAACACGTTAGTATATCTAATCATTTTGAAAATACTCTAATTTCTAATCTATATAATATAATCAAAAAAAATTATAAAAATATTTAATCTTATTTTTATTAAATTTCTTATAAAAACAAATCAATTGATATAAGAAAATATTTATATTATATAATTTATTATAGAGAAATTTATAAATATAAATGATAAGTTTTGATGCGAAAACGTGTTTCGGCTGATAGCAGTTGGCACTTGCTGTATGTTGGGACAAGATTTTCCCATTGTCCCTACTCATCTCAACATCTCCGTCCTGTTTCTCGACAAAGGCTTTCCTACTTTCTTCGGCTACGAGTGTAGCTCCTGGGGCCGACTGAGTTGCAGAAGTCTCTGCTGCGGCTGCGGCTTCTCGAATTTATTGTATAGGATGATCACATAGATTGAAGGAGACGCAATGTATAAAAGTTTCTTCCTCATCGAGAGGGGGTATAGATATAGCCTCCGAATAATTTTATATAGGTACTTGTTATGAAATCAGACAGCTACTTATTCGCTCTCATTATGTATTTTTTTTCTTTTTCATCTCTTCGTCTTTCCTCTTGTCCTTAAAACTCTATTGAAGATTTCGACGCTATAACCGCAGGTGCGTATGGGCTCTAAACTTATGTATCTGATGAGAAGTCTTGATCAATTTTGAATTGATGATTCTAGTTCAGATATTGGAGTGGGAACTTCTGATTCAGAGTATGAGATGTCTTGTTGGTATTGAAGGCGTTCTAAATCTAATTGGGCGTCGATTGTTGTTTGGGATTGTGAAAACAAGCTGATATATTGCTATTCTGCACGTCCTACTGAAAATCAAACATTTTCCAATATTCCCCTTTCAAAAATGGTAAGAACAATATTTCAAACTCATCAATCGATATTCTTACCTGAGAAACGTCCAAAAATCTTATAAAAGTCGAGATCTCATTAGAAATTGAACTATGATTTATTTAAAATTTAAGATATAGTAGTCCTGGTGGTCAGAAAATTTGACAGTCAAGATTCAACTCAAAGAGAAGTTCTGTATCTATTTATGGATGAACTCTAGCAAGTAAGATTGTAAATACTCAAACATTGATCTTTATTTCATTGCTAGTTTGACAATCTTATCTGGTAGCCAGTTGCATAAGTGTATGAATTGAAATTGCTTTGCTGAAGTCGAATTATATGATTGAACAATTAGATGACATTCAACCATCTCATTACGGGATCTTCTTCTGAGGTGCCATGCATTGAGGAGAATCTCATGACCTTAATCAAATAGCTGGATATGTTCATTTTCAAACGCATTTGGTCTTCTATACTAGATTCTGCCTTACATCCAGTCTAGTGTTCGGAAAGTAGCAAATTCGAGCAAACCTCAAATGAAAACGGTAAGAAATTTCGGGCCAGAAGGATTTTGTGTTGGGCATTGTTTGGAGTCTTTGTAGATGATATAATACCACTGCTTGAATAGATTCCTAGTCCCATGACAGATTTTAATCCATGGATATTAAATCTCTGGAGATAGCTTTCTCAAATGATCAGGCCAGCGTCCTTTTTGTTCGTTTTCAGATTCTCAGACAGAAAAACAACTAAGTTTTTGTCAAATGAAATAGCTACTTGCTTTTTTTTTAAACGAGAAAAGAATATAGTAGCTCAAATGAAGTCCCAACCCAGTCAGCTGCGATATTTCCGCCTAATGATCTATCGCACTATTACTTGAGGCTTAGCTCGAGCTTGATGACCGCTAATGTGATAAAGGTCTGGGTTTTGAGTGGCGTACATGTCAAAAGGTAATAGTTTTGTAAAATTGAGATGCACTGTTGAGATTTTATCCCAAGCGTGACAGGAATCAATTTGAAGGTGCACGTCCGGGAATTGGTAATAGATATTGTATGATCATCTGGTAGATGTGTGAATAAGAATGAAGAAGCATTTTTTGGAAGCTCGATAGACTAGACTACCCTTTGATCGCGGCTTCGAGTTACGTATCTTTCTCAATCTCCTACCAGAATCAGACTTATGTCCGTTGTCTTCTGAGGTCTTTGCTGGAATATTCTTGAAGCAGATATAAAAAGTTCGTTCTTGTGTGGTGTGACATTCTCAATGCATGCCAGACACCACTCTCCTGCCCATATCATTGAATCAGCCGGTAAATGAAGAGAGAGTAGATAGAGGAAAACACCCAAAAACTCGGGAATCAAGATCTAATCTACAGAAATGTTTCGGGGCAGCAAGACACTAGTCATCAATGCCCAGTCAATCAGCATGACTGAAATTCGAGACAGTATCAGAGACATGTAACTCTAGCTTTCAGCTTCCGAGACAGATATAAATGTTCAAAAGCAACATAGATTAGACTTTGCATATTCAGCAATGCTCAGCGAGAAAACTTAACCCGGGTTTAAGTTGCTTTCTTCGAGCTTCCCTGATGATTGTAGCTATTTTTACATCGCAAATGTGTGTTTCTCAATCACATATTTTACGAAGTTTGAACAGAACATGTTCTCCTACTGAAACTGAGAATACTCCTTAATCTTCAAGTGAATTATTAGAGGTCATGAGATAGATATTAACAGAACTCGATTTCACTCCGCCTCTGACGTTGGAATTATAAACGCATTAGATATCATCAAGTGAATGCTGTTACCCCAATTTTCTTTCGTTCGCTATTATATAACTTGCAGGTCTCTGGATCTAAGAACATCAACTAAGCTCAGGGAAAAAAATACAATTCCTGGCCAGACTAAGCTTTCTGGTTTTGTGATCAACCCCTGATACAAGATCCATCCCCTGAGTCCACTCAGATCTGGTAGTATCAGCAGAGTATGACGGTAGTTGACTGATATGAAGAGGCAGTATACTGATAACGACAAAGAATTCAGCTGATATACGATTTCCACTGTCAATTTGACATTCAAGTGCATTATTGTGACTAATATCTCGACTCATTTACTCATAGTTGTTGTTATCCAAGACTGAGCTCTAAATCTACCCAACAGCTTTTCACCAAATTTTGCTAAAAGCAAGAAATTTGATGGGAGGGCGAGATCGAATATCCATAGTGACTTCAGAGAAGTATAAATAGTGCCGGAGAGAAAATACAGTTCCATGTGCAAGCCATTGATGTCAGGGAAAATTCTCTGGCTTTCCATAAATTCTCTGAAGTGAATCTAATCACTTAAATCTCAGCCAGCTCTCTGTCCCTCGATTCAGAGATCTGATCATGCGGATTTCTGATTCTGTCATGTGCTAATCCAAAAACCAGTGAATTGATTCATTACCTCTCTGCATTAAATACACAAGTGAGTCTCTAGCTTTCAAGTTAATGAGGTGTAGACACAGATCAAGGTCTCTCATGGTCATTCAAGAAGGGCGTAATATAAAAGTGATAGTCAAGGGGGGCTTAGAATGAATAATAGACCAAATTCCAGCAATATAACTTCCTGAAGTATGTCTGTGGAGTGAAGATCGTTACACAGATTATCTCTCCAAAAGGGTTCGGACGATATGAGCACAAGCGTGCTAATAGTTTAGGAATCTGGAGTAAAGCATGTTTGAGAAACAACAGCAACAAAGAAAAAGTCGACAATCAAAATACCTAAAAGACAACAACAAGAAAGACTAACAAAACATCATACAACATCATTCTCGCAGAAACTTTCTCCCTCCTGGAAACGAATTTCTGATCGCATTTAATTTTTCACGACTTTGACTATCCTAGTCTTCAGACAACTGCAGACAAACGTAAGTGGAAATTGCGAGAATTCCACTGATTTAGATGTTGAGCAAAATTACCTACCTTTGATCTCTTATGTAGCCCAAGAACGTTTCCTCTCTGGCCCCAAAAGATGCTATCACGGAAAATATAACTCCGCTGGCCAAGTGATCTCTCTAAAATCTGCCTTACTTGAGAATTCACTTGGACTCCTGAAGATACCGAAGTCTACCCCTCTTTCTTGTAATTGATTGTTGCATCTTCACCCACAATTACCGCAGTCTATATATAGCAAGAAAATTGTAGACTGCATTCCACAGATCAAGTGAATACCCAAGGGGCACTACCCATGCCACCATGAGAGTTTTTCTTTGCAAGTATTATTTAAGGAATCAAAAGGTCAATTAAAACTCCCATGATGCTCGTCAGCACTGCATCTTGCGCACGAGACAGATCATTCTCATCAATCCTCTCCACGCGAAATGCGTAGATACGAACACCGCGAGTTCAAACTGGGCGACCTGGGCAAGAAATGCGCCTGTAGTAAGCTGAGAAATGTGAAGTTACCCGCCTGATGGACCAAGATTTACGGGTTATTGATCAGTTGTAGTAAAATAGAAGTCAGATGAATCGACAGTATTAGTAGAGAGATGACAACCA